TTCATACTCTGCTTCATACTCTGCTTTAATTCTGTTGCCTGGTTGACGATAAGCTGGGAGTCACAGAAGACTATTACCTCGTCAGCTTCCAGTGCTACTGCCAGCTTTAATCCTGCGATTAGTGCTTCATACTCTGCTTCATTGTTTGAGGCTTTAAACCCCAAACGAATGGATTGTTCCAGTATCTGCCCATCTGGAGATATTAGCACTACTCCTGCCCCCGCTCCTTGTCGGTTTGAACTCCCATCAACAAACAGTCGGAAGGAGTCACCGATGTAAATACTGCATAGCCTGAGTTTTTCTTACTTCCTTTGTTCTGCTCTCCCTAGCTGGGTTTCTCTTTGTTCACTTGGACATCGTATCCCTTGGCTCAACGGAGCCCGATGTATGATGGCGTCTGGTGTGAACTCGACCACGAAGTCAGCCAAAACTTGGCCTTTGATTGTTGTTCTAGGTTTGAATTCTAAGTCATATTGGCCCTACACCACTTCCCATCTGGCTATTCTGCCTGTCAGATTTCCCTGCTACAACAAGGACTTCAAGGGATGCTCAGTTAACACCACAATTTTGTAGGCTTAAAAGTAATGATTTAGCTTATTTGAAGCCATTACTAAGGCCAGTGTTAGCTTCTTCAAGGGTAGGTATCTGGTCTTAGCATCAGCTAAGGTTTTGCTCACGTAGTAAACTATCCTTTACTCTCCCTTTTCTTCTCTAATTACTACTGCACTCATTGCATGCTCTGAAACTGCCAAGTATAAGAACAGCCCCTCTCCAGGTACTAGATTTGAGAGAACTGGAGCTGTGGTCAAATATTTTTTCAAGTCGGTCAAGGCGACTTCGCACTCTTCTGTCCATAAGAAGTTAGTGGCTTTCTTCACTAAGTTGAAGAAAGGTTTACATTTGTCAGAACTTCTGCTTATGAATCTATTCAGGGCTGCAGCCCTTCCAGTCAACATCTCCACTTGCTTTGCCGATGTTGGGCTCTTTAACTCCAAAATGGCCTTGATTTGATCGGGGCTAGCCTCAATGCCCCTTTTGGTAATCAAATATCCTAAGAACTTACCAGACCTAACTCCAAATGCGCACTTCGATGCATTGAGTCGGAGCCGATATGTTCTAAGGATGTCAAAAACTGTCTTTAAGTCTTCCAGATGATCCTCAGGTTCCTTAGTCTTCACGACCATGTCATCTATGTATACCTCCACTGTTCTGCCTATCAGATGCCTGAACATCTTAGCTACCAGTCTCTGGTACGTTGCTTCTACATTTTTCAACCCGAAAGGTATCATTCTGTAACAATACAGCCATTTTGGGGTGATAAATGCAGTCTTCTCCTCATTTGGGGGTTACATAGCTATCTGATGGTACCCCCTGTACGTATCCAGGAAGCTCATCCTTCTATGCCCTGAAATGGTATCCACCAATTGGTCAATCTTGGGTAGTGGAAAACTGTCTTTGGGACAAGCCTTGTTCAGGCTGGTGAAGTCCACACATACCCTCCACTTCCCATTCTTTTTCTTCACAACCACCGTATTTGATAACCATGTCGGGTAATTTACCTCTCGAATGGCCCTAGCCTCCAGAAGTTTATCCACTTCCTCTTCTACTGCCTCGACGTGCATCAACGTCGGCCTTCTTGCTCGCTGGATGACAGGTTTGGCCAACCTATCCACATTCAATCTATAGCAAGTGACCTCGGGGTCAATGCCAGGCATCTCGTACGGCGTTCCGGTAAACACCTCAATGTTTGCTCTCAAGAACGCCTCTGGCTCTTTTTCCTCTTCATCGGCCAAACCCGAGCCAAGAAGGAAGAAACGCTCTTCATCCCTTTGCTGGACAAGGATTTTTTTCAGGGCTTCCTCACTCTTTTCGGCTGGCTCTTTGCCGACGTCATCTAGGACTTCTATGTCCTCATCTTCAATCTCTACGGCTTCTGCTTCTCGTATATTGCAGGTGGATTTCATTGCTGCCATGGAGCAATTCTTTGCTTGCACTTGATCCCCTCTGACCTCCTCAATTTCATGCTCTGTTGGGAACTGCAATAGCTGGTGCAATGTTGAGGGAACAGCCCCCATTGCATGCAACCATGGCCTTCCTAGGATAACATTGTAAGGGGAGAGAGTGTCAATTACTGTGAACTCAGTTTTTACCTTCTTGGTGCCAGCTTGCACCTCCAAACTTATTGCCCCCAGGGGCCACGTCGACGTTCCATTGAACCCGATCATTACCTTCTTGGTGCCAGCCTGCACCTCCAAACTTATTGCCCCCAAGGGCCACGTCGGCGTTCCATTGAACCCGACCATTGGACCATTGGATTGTTCCAAATCATCTTGGTGAAGGCCAAGCTCCTTGTAACACCTGACATACATGATATCACAAGAGCTATCCTGGTCAATTAAGATGCGTTTCACTTGGCATTCTCCAATCTAGAGGGATATTACCAAGGCATCATTGTGTGGATGTTGCACCATCTCTAGGTCATCTTCAATAAAGGACACCACTGGTCCCTAGCACTCGTCTGCCCTAGGTCTTTTCTACCGGACCTGGTACGCATGCTGCAAGTGTTTTACCTTCTGAGTCTCCCCACATATTTCGTTCTCATTGACCTTTGAGTAAATCACATTGATCACTCGAGGTCCGCCTGTCTGCGGTTGTGGTGTTGTCGGTGCCTGAGGCAGTCTTGCTTGCTCTTCCCTTGTCCTGGCCTCGTCTACAAGGTCCCTTAAATGACCTTGTCTTACCAGGTCTTCCAGATGTGCCTTCAGAGCTCTGCACTCCTGAGTCAGATGCCCATCTTCATTGTGGTAAGCACAGTGCTTGCCAATGCTTCTTTTCCTAAATTCACCCAGAACCCTTACTGGTGCTCTGTAATAGGACTGATTTCAGATTTTTTCCAAGACTTTGTAAACCGAGATTCGGAATACGGTTGTGATTGCTTGCGCAGTCCTTAATCCTGTTTTTGGCTAATTGTATCCATCATTACCTCGGTCTCACTTCGGCGAGCCGTTTCCCTTCTCTTGTTTTGACGCCTTTGTCCCCTGCATGTCTTCCTCGGCCCTCGTATACTTCTCAATTCTAGCCATCAGTTCCTCCATACTTTTTGGCAGTGTCTTTGCCAATGATTTTCGAAGCAAACAATCATCTTTCAGGCTGTTCTTAAAATACACGATCGCCACCTCTTAGTTGCATCCTAGTATCCGGTTGAATACCTCATAGTACCTCTTGGCATAGGCCTTAAGGCTTTCATCCTCACTGATTCTCAAAGCCATCAGGGAGTACACCCTTAATGGCTGTAGCTTGTTTGTTACAAACCTGGCCACGAACATCTTGGCCAGGCCTTCTCAGGTTTTCATAGTTCCTTTCGGCAACTTGTGAAACCAGTCCAATGCAATTTCCCCAAAGGACGAGGGGAACACCTTGCAAAGCAACGGCTCGTTCCCGGTGTATAGCGCCATCGAGTTCAGGTACAAGCCGACGTGAAAGTTAGGGTTCAACTTACCGTTGTATATCTGGAATCTCAACATACTGAATCTTTTCGAGGCCTCAAATTTGTCCAACTCTACCAAGAACGGCGTTCTCGGCTTAACCAGGGAGGTTACCTCGGCATCCTGTCGCTTCCTCTAGAGGAAATCCCTCAGATCCTCTTTGGTCCGTCCAGGAACTCGGCTATCACCGGATTTCAACCTCTTCGTTGCGCTACTTCCAGTGTCATTATGAGTCCTTTTGGACCTCCCTCCATTGGTCGTATCGAAACAGAATTCCTTCCCTTGAACATCCCGATGTTCTTTGGTGCATGCTTCTTTGGTTCGACGTGTCTTTTGGGATTCTCTTCTCGTTGATTCTCCATGCCCGTCCTTCCGTGAAGGCCGATGAGAATGTCCTTTGGTCCTGTCGTGCTGTGGGACTGCAGGAATTGTTTTCTGCCCCCTTTTCGGGCATCTATCTTGGCCGCTGGAATTGGCGTATCTTGTAATGGGAACGGTGGCTATATGACGTTTTACATCATGAAATTGACGACCGTTTGCAGGTCCGCCAATTTGTCCGTAACTCCCTTTATCTCTCCGTCCCTCCGCAAGCATCTATCTTTTCATACCTGGAGGTCATTCTCGTTATAATACCTGCATCGATCTGCCTTCTTTGGTACGTCGCCCTCCTCGCAGACGTCTTTCTCTCCGGGATTCTGATCCCGAGTTTCTTCATTGCAATTATCCTCCTCTAGGTTGGGATCAAAGTGCTTACCACTCCCAGTAAGAATGTCATCCCCAACCTTTTCTTTTTGTCCGTCGTTAGCCATCTATTCTCTTTTCTTTCCCACAGACGGCGCCAAATTATGTATGTCAATTTCTAACCACACTGCCAAACAGGTACTCAGCTGGAGAACACCGACGGAATAGATTAAGCTCGAACAACCTGTCACATAAAGATAAGATTCCGACGATGGTTCGCCCACCCGGGGGCACTCCGACGATCAAGTCAGTTATCTCTCAAAGATAGCAAAAGTGTTTAACTCACTATTCAGAATGCAAAAAACGTACCTTAGACTCACGAAGGTGTCTCTCTTTTATAGCCAACACTGACCTAATCCCAATAGAAGCCTAGCTTCAATGGACTCTGGCTTAATGCTAATTCTGGACTCCCAATAGAAGCCTAGCTTCAATCTTTATCCAAACTGAAGTCCTCTCTCATTCTAGGACTCTTGTCCCTTATCCGCTTATCCCGAATTCCGATATCTTCACAGATAATCTCGGCCTAGCCGAGATCACCTCGACGTCATGACCGGGACACGTGGCACTTCGGTTGGCACTTCGGTGCCACCTTGGCCACGTGTTGTCATTCAAAAATTATGTCCCCACACTATTTGTGAACCCATTGCGAGAGAGGCATAGAGCAAGAGTTTTATCAAATTTTGTGTCAAATTCGAAATAAGTTAAAAATAAAAAATAAAAAATAAAAAATAAAAAATAAAAAAAGAAAAGACAAAAGAAATAAAGAAATAAAGAAAGAAAAAAAAGTGTAATTCATGACAGCAATACAAGCCTCAATAACATTAATCCATTATAGCCACATGGAAGTCTATTTTCCAAAATACGAGACTCAAGGCATTTACAGAAATTGATCGAAAAGAAAGAGAGAGAGAGAGTAATTTAAAATAAAATAAAAAAAAAAGTCCTTCAAGGTCAATTGGCATACTGATTCTCACATAATTAAATCAGGATCATCTTCATAGTCATAATCTGCATCATTTGATTGTCTGATTCTCTTTGCATCTCTTGGCCCTCCTCTTCCCTTCTTCGGTTTTCCTCTGCAAGTTCACCCACAGATATAAGAATGGGAGAATTACAAATCAGTGAATTTTTGAAAAAAAGATTTTGAGATAGATGAAAAAAGTTTAGAATTTTAATTATTAATATTTATAATATATGTAACTTTTTGATAAATTTATACTGAACAGTAATTTCCCCTATAAGAATTGCAGGGCTTGATAAATTTATCCAGGGTTTGCAAAGCAAAGATGTCAATTAATAACCATAGACAAATGATATCTGGTTTTTTGTAAGCTTCAAATCTTGATTTATTGCCTTGAACAATAAAAATAAAAATACTCACTGCCCATTCGCCAAAATACCTCCATCTCGTCCAACAACATGCTCTTCTGTCTGGAACACAAATCATCAACAAAACAAGAACAGGAATCACAATAGCAAGTTAAACAATTATGTTGTAAACAAGGGCATGCCATTTTAACATAACAAACACCCCCTCTGTTTATTGAACAAGATCAACTAACTCTAAAATGGCACCCAGATGTGATCATTAATGATAAATATTGAAGATCATTTCTACGAAAGTAAGATATATTTAACCAAAGGACTTCATGTTAGCCATATACAATAAATAGTTCATTGGAATGCAGAATATTCATGGTAATATATTTGGTTAAAGAATCCCTCCCCAGTTGATCTAGAACAATTGGGATATCCTCTAGAAGAAATAGGGGGCAGCAACATGTTATTGGGTGGTGCACTCCTAAGGAAATGCTATTACCTTGAAAATTATTAATTTTTATTTTCAAAGGTTAGAAAATTTAAAATTACTGTCTCCATTTTTTCAAAAATTACCAAGGAAAATGCTGTTGCCTTAGAAAATTAAATTGAAAAATACTTTCTTCAATTTTCAAGAGTAAGCAAATTTAGAAAAATACACCATGACCAATTTTAAATCACCTTTTTCCAATTCTTTCCTTCACAAGTATGATCTCCTCACATCCTTGAAGAATGAGCGAATGGCAAATTTGCTACTTAAATCCATAATCATCCTAATGTCACAAATCTATGTTTCGCATGCAATCTCATGTGAGCAGATGTTTAAATTATATATGCTGAAGTGGTTACAAGAAACATGAGCTCAAAGCTGTGCTGCATTCATTGCTTGTACAAACAATATTATAATTGCATAGCAATACACATTAAGTGTTTCCTTCAATTATGCAAGAATAAAACTATAATCAGTTCTCCAGGAAAGGCATTATAAAGAGAAGAAGAAGAAGAAGAAGAAGAAGAAGAAGAAGAAGAAGAAGAAGAAGAAGAAGAAGAAGAAGAAGAAGAAGAAGAAGAAGAAGAAGAAGAAGAAGAAGAAGAAGAAGAAGAAGAAGAAGAAGAAGAAGAAGAAGAAGAAGAAGAAGAAGAAGAAGAAGAAGAAGAAGAAGAAGAAGAAGAAGAAGAAGAAGAAGAAGAAGAAGAAGAAGAAGAAGAAGAAGAAGAAGAAGAAGAAGAAGAAGAAGAAGAAGAAGAAGAAGAAGAAGAAGAAGAAGAAGAAGAAGAAGAAGAAGAAGAAGAAGAAGAAGAAGAAGAAGAAGAAGAAGAAGAAGAAGAAGAAGAAGAAGAAGAAGAAGAAGAAGAAGAAGAAGAAGAAGAAGAAGAAGAAGAAGAAGAAGAAGAAGAAGAAGAAGAAGAAGAAGAAGAAGAAGAAGAAGAAGAAGAAGAAGAAGAAGAAGAAGAAGAAGAAGAAGAAGAAGAAGAAGAAGAAGAAGAAGAAGAAGAAGAAGAAGAAGAAGAAGAAGAAGAAGAAGAAGAAGAAGAAGAAGAAGAAGAAGAAGAAGAAGAAGAAGAAGAAGAAGAAGAAGAAGAAGAAGAAGAAGAAGAAGAAGAAGAAGAAGAAGAAGAAGAAGAAGAAGAAGAAGAAGAAGAAGAAGAAGAAGAAGAAGAAGAAGAAGAAGAAGAAGAAGAAGAAGAAGAAGAAGAAGAAGAAGAAGAAGAAGAAGAAGAAGAAGAAGAAGAAGAAGAAGAAGAAGAAGAAGAAGAAGAAGAAGAAGAAGAAGAAGAAGAAGAAGAAGAAGAAGAAGAAGAAGAAGAAGAAGAAGAAGAAGAAGAAGAAGAAGAAGAAGAAGAAGAAGAAGAAGAAGAAGAAGAAGAAGAAGAAGAAGAAGAAGAAGAAGAAGAAGAAGAAGAAGAAGA